AGGACGGCGACGGCAAGCAGCTCGAAGTGTGGAAGACACTCATCAACGGCCTCGTCGCGGGCTCGCTCGGCCCGTGCTTGAACTCGCCCATGGACGTCATCAAGACGCGGCTCATGGCACAGGAGACGGTCAAGGGCGTTGAGCCCAAGTACCGCGGCTTTGTCCACGCGTTCGGCGTCATTGCGCGCGAAGAAGGCAACGCGGCGCTCTGGAAGGGCCTCGTGCCACGCCTGACGCGCATGGCGCCAGGCCAAGCCATCACGTGGACCGTCGTCATGCGCGTCACGTCCTTCTTTGAAAACAACTAAGTCGACAACGACGGACCTTAATTATACCGCGCTCGTTGACTCTCTCTCGGTCGCTTGTCCGTGATCCGATGCAACGGCGACGACTACAGTTTCCAGCAACATGACGAGCAGCTCCATCGAGCAGTGAGGCTTCCGACCAACCCCGAGCGTGTGAGCAGAGGGATGTCATCCGGTGACGAGCCCCTGCAATTAGCTCTACTGCGATGTTGCTCTGACGCAGACCCTCGCCAACGAGCCCCAGAACATGAATCGGGTCGGCTGCTCCGCTCGCGATCCGGGCAGCTACGATCGCACGACTGCATGTCCGGCACTTTTGGCTCATCGCGCTCTGGTGCCATCAGCTTGGCGCGTCGCTCAACGCTCTGCGAGATGACCCTTGGTGTGTGCGCAACCTGGTCCCTCGCACAGTCCCGAATCCCGACCACTAACGCTCCTCGCTTCACGCCCCGCCTCGCGAGCGCATTGAGAAGTCCACCAGGTCGTGGCAAAGACTCTACTATTATAGTATGACGCAAGCCACGCCTGGGAAGACTGGCTGCTCGAACAGTATTAAGACTAAGCGTGGTCACGTTTATTTCCAGGAAGCAAGAACGAGTGCAAGGCTCTCTCTTCCCTGCTCTCTTCCGGTACTCAGATTCTCAAGACGTCGTCAGAGTGGCGAGTACCCTTTAGGATGTGGGGAGATAACACTTTGTGCCTTTTAAAATCGAAGAGGAGAAGGGAAAAGGAAGAGGGATGTTCGACGCCCAAAAGGCGCGATCAATGTCCCTTCGTTGTGGCGGGCGTCCCACTGGCAGTGGCGCGATCGCCATGGAGTGCTCCATTTCATCGCGTATACAAATATCAAGTGTGCCTTTTAAAAATTTCTTAAGGGTACACTTGCAATTTGTATGCCCTCCCACCTTGGGCAGCAGCTTCAGGCGATCAGCCAATGCCTGGTCTCGAAAAATCGACGAGCCAATGCCTATTCTCCAAATATCGAGCAGCCAATGCCTAGTCTCCTTTGATGCGGATCAATCGATGACGCGCAAGCAACAAGCATGGTGCTGCCTTCGTCAAAGCATCACTAGCAGTAATTAATATCGATCTATATTCGCCATTGCATGGCTGCTACGTCCAGAAATGTATGGGATGTGACAGCAATTGTACAAATGTGGCGTTGCGCCACGCAGAATTG